TCGATTATTTCGTATTTTATTATTTTCACTCCTGATGCGGTTTTCGTCGATGACGTCACGCATATTTCAGGCTAAAAAGAATTGATTATTCATCAAATACTGGTGTTTGATTAAATTAGTATTTAAAAAATTAAAAAAGCAGAATTAAATGTATAAGTTAATACATACAAACTAGAACATATTGAGTTACGTAAATATGTGTACCATCCAAGCGTTATGATTTAAATTTTAAACAGATACCGACATCGCCTCCGTGGCGCAATTGGTTAGCGCGTTCGGCTGTTAACCGAAAGGTTGGTGGTTCAAGCCCACCCGGGGGCGAAATAACTTTTGGTAAATTTCGAAATCGTAATTTTAAAATAAAAAACAAAAACCGAACAAAAAAATACTGAAGAAGTATCTCTTTTATAATTCCCGTTGTCGTAATATTATAACATAAAAATATACCTGGTTGGGACATCCTTCGATCACCATTTCGTTCAGACTGGGATTAAAATATCGACATCTTGCCAGCATGATGAAAGCATCGCACATATCTTCTGTGAAGCCTTTATACACACTATAGGAAAAGTTGAGTGATTAAAAAAAATTTCAAACAATTGCGATCCATAAAATAAAAATCATCAAGTAAAAAAACACTAATCATGTCTTTTTTTAAACATCTTAGAAGTTCTTACAACACGAATTGCTGCGTAGAACACAATTTTAAAGCAATAACGGATGCGTGAGAGACACAGCGCATAGCTAACGTAGACCCGCTAAAAAGGAAACAAACGCGGCTTGCAGACAAACAGACAGATAAAAAAATGTAAATGCGATTTTCGTTATCAGCAACGCAAATAAATTTTCCCGAAATCTGGAATTTTGCTTATGATTTTCCAGATAGACACTCCAATTTGATTATATCTAAAGATAAAGAATATAATGCAGTATGTAAATGTATACATGTAGAAGAGGCCGCCAGGAACATGCTAAATACAATTCCTTGTCTACCTACCCCTATTGTACATACTTATCAATCTGTTGCGCGATGTTCCTCAGCTCTGTCATGGCGGCGACAGCGGTCCACTTCATGAGCTTCTTGCCGAGGTTGGCGAGGTGCAGCCGGTTCCGCATCTGCTGCAGCGCGACCAGCGACGGCATGCAAGGATACCGCGTAACACCGAAGGTATTATCCTCTTCCTCTGTAATTACAAAGATATATCAATATTAATAGACAGGCCTAACCTTAGTCCCTTTTCCTTTCCACCATGTTCTTAAGAGGTAAGGATGGGGGCATAGGAAGGGGAAATAACCTGTTTATGTGCGTTTCCTCCTCTATCAATTAAGGGTAGGCAACGCATCTGTAATTGCGGATTCTGGAGATAGTCTATCGGTAGCGGTCGCTTCGCCATTTTAGCAGATCCAAGGTGCCGCTTGCTTGTTTGTCTCATTATGATGTAAAGACTAACAATAACATGACTGACATCACCATTCATCCATATCTAAGGCCTAGGTTAGAAGTTTAGTCGTAACAATTCGTAGATTCATTACCTCAGTATGGTAAAGGTAGGGGGTTAAATGACATCCCATGACGCCTAATAATCCCGCTTTACTACGAATTATTTTACCATTACGCCCGTTATCATTTGACTAGATAATGCATTGCCCAGGTCGCTTGTAGAGCTTGACTGTGGCCTACCCTCACTTAGGGTGGGCTGCGAGCTTCTCAGTGGTATAGTAAGTTGGTGATTATGATGATGCTACTAGAGTACTGTACTATTTTTTGGTAATCAATCGTATTACATCCTTTTTATTAAAATGTATAAGATTAGTTACACTTGATGTAGTAATTTGTTTTTTTATAGTTCTACTGTTTTACTCTGTGGCAATGCAAACATTTCGAGACATACTAGTTCTGCTGTGTTCTACTCTGTGTCAATAGTATTGAACATTGAAGACATTTGATTCTCATATGTCGTGATAACTCAGTCGGGAGACAGACTGCCTCTCATGCATAAGGATTTCTGTTTAATCCTCCATCTGTATTTGAATTACAAATGTTTGAATTTATGTATAGAATTTATCATGAGGAACTGCGCGTATGAAAGTACGAACTATATATCTTGTAATGTTTCCTAGATTATTATCTACACTAGTATTATAAACTAGCTGTTCTCGTGCGGCTTAACCTGCGTAGAAATTTTCAAATGCAAATGTAAAAATACAAATGACAACCTTGCTTCCTTGATGTTGTCAGCTTATAGTGTATGGTACCTTTCCCACATGAAGGTTTTTTCCAATTTATTTACCCCCTACGTTTAATAAGGTGTAAATATATAGTTTAAAGCGTGTCGTAAGTGTAGGGCTTTTTATTAAAAAAGAAATTATTTAAAAATTCGCTGTGATTGCTGACATCCTACGCCACAAAGTAGTGTGTGTTTACGCTTTATTATATTAGTATAGGTGGGAAAGATTAGAATATTTATATGTATTGAAATAACTATTATTTCATTAAAAAGCTACGTTATCAGTGATTAACATTGGCTATATTTTTCAAGGAACGACGAGGACAAATTCGCAAGCAACAATTAGTCGAACGGAAAAGTTGGCAGAACCGTAAATTATATATTATAATATAGAAATAGAGCAAATAGAAATACGCATACGCAAATAGAAATTGTAACATCTTGGTGCTAATTACGGGTTTGAGGATTATGCCTGATTTACATTATTCCAGTAAAGTAAGCCAGTAGCTCAAAATAAGCACTGTCACGTAAACACTAACGCCAGTAGGCTTATACTGACCTCATGACGTCAGACATTAGCACAATCATACTTCATACTTATATCATAAATGTGAATGTTTAGATGGATGTTTCTTAGAGTATGTAGCCTAAACTGCTGAACGGATCTCAATGAAATTTGACATACATGTAATGGATAATCTGGAAGAACACATAGGCTACTTAGTTTTATTTTTTTTTTAATACCACGCGGACGGAATCTAGTTTCTAGCTAGTTAATTCAAAAGCTTACCATCGTCGTCTTTAAACATTTTGGATTAATGAATACTGCTTGAAATACTTGTTATTGCTTTGTTTTTAAAATGCGTTTAATGATATTCAACCTTGCGTATTATTCTTCTGTCACTTAAGAAAAAACGTATGAAATACTGAAGTAAAACTTTATATTTAAATGGGTACTTTTTTAGGTTATTTTTGCATTGTTAAAGGCATTTTCTTGATGTTCTTTTCTTGGGTATTTACACTATATCATTGTTATTAAATTAAATATACTTTAGTAAATTAAACTACATTTTGTAATTTTGATTGCCAAATAAATGATTTATTAAATGACAGTTTTATTCTTCTATCACTATGTTTTTGAATATTTTAAAAAAGAGTTTACTTATGTGTTTAGTTAGGACGTATTTGTTCTCTTTAGTGAGCGCACATCTTTGACTAAGCTATCGTATAACTGTTTATAGTATTAGTCAAGCTTCAATACCTATGGATTATATAGATTATACTGCTCGATCTTTATTGCCTGCGAAACAATCGACAATCGTACAACAATGGGGATGTTTCCTAATGTTACAAATTCAAATAAAGTTATGTTTAATATTTTAAAGACAGTATTTTAAAACTTATAATAACATTTAGAGACCTTTGTCTCAATTGAAATATAAATTAAAAACGCTGCATTATTTTTTACCCTCCATTACTCGATCTCAAATACCAATCAGAGCTCGGTGACGTCACTTTTTCGCAAACAACATGGCAGTGTGTTTGCGAAGAAGTGACGTCAGTGTGTTTAGATATGGATTATCTACATAATAAAAGCAATTCCAAAAATTAGAAAACATCCCCATTGTATGATTGTTTGTAGTTTGTATGTAAAATTATGTAAGGGGAATCATTCGATATTAATAAAGGTTACCATTTAATGAATCAAGCAAATACTTAACATTATAAGTAATCAATAAAGATTTTAATTGATCTTTACTTTGCTTAACTTCTTGTTTAGATGCGTATTCTCAGGTAGCGTTAAGTTGACGTCTGAATCAATTAAATTTTCAATTTTGAGCAATTAACCTCGCCGATGCGGCGCGGGAGAAGTAATTCCCCGTGAGAGCGCTGCTCCCACCAGCCTTACTTCTTAATAGGGATTAATTAATATTACAGGGCCTTGAGTAGACTTGTGCTTGTGTCAACTGTCAGTTTCCACTGTTGGAAAACTTGTATTAATATATATCTATTCCTCTCGCTATCGATGCAAAAAAGAGAGATAGTTTGTAGACTATATTGCTGAATGGATGTAGATGAAATTTGGCATAGATGTAAAGCATAATCTGAAAGAACACTGGCTACTTACTGAGTTTTTTTCCACGCGGACGAATTCGCGGGGAAAACTAGTTATAGTTGTTACATTGTGTTTTAATGTGTCTATTGCCCTGCAGTTATTGTATATTTTCTGACAGAACCAACAAAGACAGTAGCGCCTTGGCTTCAGTATCTTTATATCTAGTTAGTCTAACTACGAGTATATCTCTGTTTTTTTTTTTCATAATGAGTGCGATAATAATATGCGTTTTACTTTTTTATTAATATGTTTGATAAAGGTACTTCGATAGTAAGCCTTGGTTATTTAGCTTTTATTGACTTCCCGTTGTCGCGTTTTCACCTGCCCTGTTATGAAACAGGTTCCCATTAGCTAAAGGGTTCTGATATTCCTTTCATATCTTAGACTTTGTACAAGTAACTGTACAATTGGTTTTAAATTTTGTCCAGACAGTTATCTAATAATTTAGCTCATTTTGATTATTTGTATTTATACTAATATTATAAAGAGGAAAGATTTGTCTTTTTGTATGTATTGAAATAACTCAGAAACTACTGGGCCAATTTTAAAAAATCTTTCACCGTTAAAAATGTAATTTATCTGTGAATAGATTATATTTATACTTAACCTAACTTAAATTGTTAAATCGATTTTATTTTAACATTACGCTACTTGTTACCTTTGACTGATAACCTTTAAGTTAGAAAACAAAAAAACATATCATAAAAATCTATACAAATATCGTTTTTTTACTGTTTTTCCTCACTATTATAAAACACAGTAACGGCTACATTTATACATTTTTTTTATTTTAGCAGTTTAGACTACAAACTCTAATAAACATCCATCCATCCATCTACACTTTCGCATTTAT